ACAAAATGACAGTCAACTTCGATGTGCTTGGTTCTTTCATGAAACACCGGATTGGAAGAGATATGAACCGCTGCCTGATTGTCACAATAGAGCTTCATTGGAGTACTGATGTCATATCCTATCTCCTATAGAAAGTTCCTTAGACACTAATTCACAAGCAGTATGTGCCATGGCCCTATATTCTGTTTCTGCACTGCTTCTCGCCACAACTGTTTGCTTCTTACTTTTCCACGTTACCAGGTTACCCCCAGGAAGGTGCAATAGCCTGTGGTAGACCGTCTATCAGACATAGAACCTGCTCAATCAGCATCGGTGTATCCTTCTACTTCCAGTTTTCCACCACTTTTGTACAACAAACCACGACCAAGAGCTCCTTTCAAGTACCTCACAATCCTTAGCACTGCATTCCAATGTGGGACCAAAGGTTTCTGCATGAACTRACTCACCACACTAACCGCAAATGAAATATCTAGCCGAGTAATGGTTAGGTAGTTTAGTTTGCCTACAAGACGTCAGTATCTGCCAGGGTCTTCAAATACTTCACCTATATCACTGCTCAGCCTCGTATTTGTTTCCATAGGTGTCTCACTCGGTTTAGTACCCAACAAACCTGTTTGTTCCAGTAAATCAAGCACATATTTCCTCTGACACAAATTAATGCCATCCTTAGATCTTGCTACCTCTATGCCCAAAAATTATTTCAATTTGCCAAGGTCCTTTGTCTGAAAGTGTTCTTGTAGGAATGCCTTCAATCTGTCAATGCCCATTTTATCATTCCCAGTCACAACGATATCATCTACATACACCACCAGTAGTATTTTACTTGCCGGAGAGTCATGAATGAAGACAGAGTGATCAACTTGGCACTGTTTCATACCAAACTTCTTGACCACCTCACTAAACCTACCAAACCATGCTCGAGGGGACTGTTTAAGTCCATATATAGCCTTCTTAAGTCTGCTTACCTTACCATCCTCCCCCTGAGCAACAAACCCTGGTGGTTGCTCCATATAGACCTCCTCGAGCAAATCACCATGCAAAAAAGGCATTTTTGATATCTAGTTGATGTAGAGGCCAATCATACATAGCTGCAAGGGAGATGACAACATGAACTGACCCTATCCTAGCAACCGGGGAGAATGTCTCTGTGTAGTCAATGCCATAGGTTTGGGAGTACCCTTTTGCAACCAGTCGCGCCTTCAGGCGCTCAACACGACCATCTGGCAAGTTACTTAACGGTATACACCCACTTACAACCGACAACCTACTTCCCAGGAGGAAGAGCGGTGAGGTCCCAAGTGTGATTATGATGTAGGGCAGAGATCTCTTCTTCCATAGCACGGCACCACTCTGGAGAGGTAAGGGCTTCCTGGACATCCTTAGGAACAACCACTAAGGATAACAAGGAGATGAACTGGCGATGGGAGATGGAGAGGTGAGTAAGGGAAACAAAATTGGAAATAGGGTGAAGGGTGCAGGTGCGTTTACCTTTCCGTAAGGCAATAGGAAGATCAAAGTCGGAGGCTGGTGTCGGATCTGGAGTCGGATCTTTCGACAGTGATGAAGCCGGAGGAGGCACAGCCGGTACACGTGAGCGATGTGTATAATACACATGACGGATAGGTGGACGGTGGCACCGGAGGCAAGGACGTAGGCACAACTGGAACCAGAGGAGGAGGATCAGCTACAGGAAGGGGAAGAGGAGGAGGTGATGTGGAGGAAGTAGCATCACCGGACCCCACGAAGAACGGAGTAGACTCGAAGAAAGTGACATCAGCACATACCAAAGAACGACGAGAACTGGGATGGTAACACTTGTATCCTTTTTGAGTCCAGGAATAGCCAAGGAAGATACACTTAAGGGATCATGCATCTTACTTGTCAGTCCCGGGACCCATAGTATGGACGAAGCAGACACACCCAAATACCCGAGGAGGAAGCGGAAACAGAGACATGTTGGGGAAAAAGACACTAAAAGGAGAACGACTTTCAAGAATAGACGTGGGCATCCGATTAATTAAGAAACAAGAGGTGAGCATTGCATCRYTCSAAAAGGGTTTGGGAACAKTCATGTGGTGCATGAGTGAGCGTGCCGTTTCTACAAGATGT